ATGTACGTGCCGCTCGAGGTTCGTGATCGATTGATCTATTGGGCTCACACGTCACCCTCCTCTGGTCATCCTGGCATCGGTCGGACAGTGCACTGTCTTAGTGGGAAGTACTGGTGGCCCACTTTAGCCAAGGACGTGAGAGTTTATGTTTCCTCCTGCTCGGTGTGCGCCCAGTGTAAGGCACCTAGACACCTGCCCAGAGGGAAATTACAACCCCTACCCGTTCCCCAACTGCTGTGGTCCCACCTATCGGTGGATTTTGTGACGGACCTTCCCCCCTCACAAGGGAACACCACGATCCTGGTCATTGTGGATCGGTTTTCGAAAGCCTGCCGTCTCATTCCTATGCCAGGTCTCCCTACAGCCCTACAAACTGCTGAGGCCCTGTTTACACACGTCTTCCGGCACTACGGGGTACCTGAGGATATTGTGTCGGATCGGGGTCCCCAGTTCACCTCAAGGGTCTGGAGGGCGTTCATGGAACGTCTGGGGGTCTCGATTAGCCTTACCTCAGGTTTTCACCTAAGCAGGTGGAGAGAGTGAACCAGGATGTGGGTAGGTTTCTGAGGTCCTATTGCCAGGACCAGCAGGGGGAGTGGTAAGGTTATATCCCCTGGGCAGAGGTAGCCCAAAACTCCCTCCGCCACTCCTCTACTAACCTTACGCCTTTCCAGTGTATGTTAGGTTATCAGCCGGTCCTGGCACCTTGGCATCAGAGCCAGATCGAGGCTCCTACGGTGGATGAGTGGTTTCGGCGCTCGGAAGAGACCTGGAACGCTGCTCATGTACACCTGCAGTGGGCAATCAGGCGACAAAAGGCGAGCGCCGATCGCCACCGCAGTGAGGCCCCGGTGTATGCACCGGGGGACCGGGTCTGGCTCTCGACCCGAAACCTGCCCCTTCGCCTGCCCTGCCGGAAGCTGGGTCGGCGGTTTGTGGGGCCATTTAAAGTCCTGAGGAGATTGAACGAGGTTTGTAATAGGTTACAACTTCCTATTAATTACCGTATTAACCCCTCGTTCCATGTGTCTCTCCTCAGGCCGGTAGTAGCTGGTCCACTCCAGGAGCCCCCACTGGACATCGAGGGGGCTCCGGCGTACTCGGTCCATTCCATCTTGGATTCGAGGCGTCGGGTGGGGGGCCTGCAGTATCTCGTGGAGTGGGAGGGGTACGGTCCGGAGGAACGGTGCTGGGTCCCTAGGAGGGACATCCTCGATCCCTCCATGTTGAGGGATTTCCACCAGAGTCATCCGACCCGCCCTGCTCCGCGTCCTCCTGGCCGTCCCCGAGGCCGGGGTCGGCGCACGGCTGGAGCCGCGAATCAAGGGGGGGGTACTGTCACGGATTCAGCCGAGGCTGCCCCTCCTCCTTGCTCGGGCAGGCTTCGGCGTTCGTCGTCACCGGAGTACTAGCTGCTACCGATCCATGTTTCTATGTTCGACTTGTTTTGTCTTTATTGGTCACACCTGTTTCCCATTATGTAGTTATGTCTTCCCTATTTAACCCTCTGTCTCACACTGTGTGTTGTGCGTGTTTGTTTATGTTTCGGTTGTCGTTAGTGTGCGGGTTTGTTCCCTCCCTGCGTGGAGGTTGTTGTTCATTATTTTACCTTTGAGTAAAGTACGCCTTTTGCTTAGCTCTGTGTCCTCCGCCTGACTTCACCTACCGCATTCCACTGACGCCTTGACAACCTGTTTCAGTCTTCCAGAGATTTGAGACTGGGACGGCGGTTCACCTTCCAGCAGGACAATGACCCTAAGCATACTGCTAAAGCAACACTCAAGTGTTTTAAGGGGAAACATGTAAATGTCTTGGAATGGCCTAGTCAAATCCAATTGAGAATCTGTGGTATGACTTAAAGATTGCTGTACACCAGCGGAACCCATCCAACTTGAAGGAGCTGGAGCAGTTTTGCCTTGAAGAATGGGGGAAAAAAATCCCAGTGGCTAGATGTGCCAAGCTTATAGAGACATACCCCAAGAGACTTGCAGCTGTTATTGCTGCAAAAGGTGGCTCTACAAAGTATTGACTTTTGGGGGGTGAATTTTCCTCAAGTTTTTTTTTTTTTTTTTTACATATTTCTTGTTTGTTTCACAAGAAAAAATATTTTGCATCTTCAAAGTGGTAGGCATGTTGTGTAAATCAAATGATACAAACCCCCCAAAAAATCAATTTTAATTCCAGGTTGTAAGGCAACAAAATAGGAAAAATGCCAAGGGGGGTGAATACCTTCGCAAGCCACTGTAGATATGTTTTCTATCACTGCTCTGTGTCTCTCTCACACAGGAGATGGACTCCATGCGCTCTGCTTATTACAGTTACCGAGAACACCATTCTCAAGATGGAGTACGCTGAGGTCCGGTTCTTCAGTCTCTCTGACAAGGTTAGTGCTGTCTGTTCCTGGCTGTATCTGTCTATATAATATGTGTATCTTTGTCCATCCATAGTTTGACTCACCGCTCTATTCTTTGTGGCTGTAAGTCTGTCAAATGTCTTTCTCCCTCACCTCAACAGAACCTGACCATGTTATGTCACCTGGACCAGCTGCTATTGGTCACTCATATCAATCTATCATGTCATCAGCTGCTGAGGCTGCCTCCACAGTTTTCCATGCTGCTGTGCCTTGAGGTATAGTACTTCAAAAACATTATTTGATGTTATGCTCAAAATAATCTCACATGTTTATTCCTGTTCTGTACTGTAGTTTTTGTACCTAATATTTTGGTTTGTCTGTCTGCCAATATGGCCTTCTATTTCCCAGGTATTGGAAGCTGATAACAATGCCATTGAGCATTTGGAAGGACTGTACCATCTCCCCAAGTTGGAAGAAGTGTCCTTGAAGACCAACTGTATTCTTGCCTTTCTCTTTTGATCAGTTTTATTGTGGTAATACATTGCAATGTTTTTAATACTGTTAGTGTTGTTGTCATTTTCTTTTACCTTAATATGCAGAAATATCCCAACTCTCTGACCTTCATCTGCTGACTTCCTGCCTGAAGCTGACCCGCCTTGATGTCCGTGGCAACCCTGTCACTCAGATTGCCAACATCCAATTCGAGTTGTCCGAGCTACTGCCCTCAGTCACTGACCATCTGATCTGATTGGGCAAACGGCAGGGCTCATTCTAAGTTTCCCTTAGACACCGATCTAGGATCAGCTTATCACCCCAAAATCCTAACCATAACCATTCTAAGGGGGAAATGGAAAACTGACATTAGATCAGTGTCTAGGGGCAACTTCCCGCTATTCCCGGCATACTACCATCAGCAGAATCTGTTTGTGTGTGTCTATGTTTGTGGGCATGCATGTATGTGAGAAGCAGAGGGGTGTTTTTTAAAGTGTTTTGTGTCTCTTTTCCACCATTATTCCACTTGTGTGGGGACATGGATTCACAGTGACCCCCACTATTGTGTAGGTTTACAATTTGGGTAAATATACTGTACATATACTGGCACAATCCACAACTGTTAAAGTTAAGTGAAAAAATAAAGTGTGTGGTTATTCTATGTAGGCTTGAATTCTGGTGACATGCTGTAATCATTCTGAATCATTAAGAAATTCTGGGAACTTGTTCTCAACTGGCTTACCTGGTTAAATAAAGGTTAAATAAAAAAATAAAATAAAAGTTTGCGTTTCATCTCCATGGTATGTTAGCCTGGGTCCTATGAGCCATTCCAGTAAACCTATTAATTCATGATAATAAATAATAATAATATAATAATATGCCATTTAGCAGACGCTTTTATCCAAAGCGACTTACAGTCATGCGTGCATACATTTTTTTTTTGTGTATGGGTGGTCCCGGGGATCGAACCCACTACCTTGGCGTTACAAGCGCCGTGCTCTACCAGCTGAGCTACAGAGGACCACAAATACTTACCCTCAACTGTTGACATACAGAAATTAATGTAATTGACATTTCTACAAAATAATGATGAGATGAATGTCGAGAAATGTGAAGCATCAAGTTATGAGATATCCCACTATCATGTGATAAGGGCTATGTTTGAGATAAAAATGTATTCTGTTTAAACTCAGAGAGACCCAGCTTACATCACAAATGTATGTCTCAGATATGTTCAACTTAACATGTACAGTATGTATCCCCATGAATTCTCTCAGAATGAATAGCCAGAGCTAACTGTTTTACAATATGAAATACAACATGTCTTAACAATGTCTTAACTCATTTTTTAACTGCAGTGGTTAAAGATCATGTCCTAAAATGACTGCTCTGTGTTTGAAGTGTAGCATTCATCTGTGTTTGGAGGGGTTTGTTTGAACTTAATCAGAGGCAACTTTCAACTTGGGTCACAAGATTTATGGAAAATGAAACTCTGAGGGGCTCACATGGAAGTGAGAGTGACATCACAAGTGAATGTCTGAGATGTGTGTGTGTCACCATGACACATTTTGAATCATTTGTCTTGACTGGTGTTCAGACAGCAAAGTGGTAGAGAGACATGTTGCGTAGAAGCCTGACTGATTAAATGACTGCATTCATGTGAACAGTCTCATGACATATCCCCTGTGTGTGTAAGATGACTTTTCCTCCCTTTATCCCCTTCTTATCATTGTCATCTGGTTGTCTGGAGTTTTCACTGTTTCCTCCTGTGTTGAAATGTGTGTAGCCATTCACTTTGGTGTCAGGCTTGCTTAAAGTATCAGCTTTGTTATTTGTTTTAGAAAGTAAAAAGTGAAAGTCCTCGGTGGGCTGAGAGTTTAGTTTGCAGGTTTGACACAAGTTAGGCTATTCGTGGTTTAGATTTTGACACACACAATGCTACAGTCAGCAACTAAGCCCGCGAGCTGTTGAAATAATGTCAATCACGCGCAACTGCACTGGCTTTATTCTGAGAAATGGGACGGTCCAAATCGGGGAAAGTTCCCAGACTGACTGACTTCATACTGTATCAATAGACTAGGGCAGGAGAATGAGGAGGCGAGGAAGGTGTGTCTACTGTTTGTCTCATAATCTTTAGTTTAAAAGGTCTCTCGAGGAGGATACTAAGTAGTTCAACAGCGTGAAGACTGCACAATCTGTAAAGAAAAGAGGACACGCACAGCATACCACGGCAATATTATTTTGAACCTGCGCTCGGGACTGGTCAGTCAGCGGCTACCAGTGGTGATTCAACAAACACTATCCCATCGGAGAACTCAACACATAGATTACAAAGTAAGTGAATATCTATAAATGTCTTACAATTAAAATCATGATTCATGAATTCATTTAATTCTCATCCAAATAGCCTGCTGTTTTTAAACTTAGTGGTGTTTGACACTTTGTGAAATACAATTCCCTCTCATCCAGTTTGAGGAAAAGGATGGGAGATGAAACCATGTCTTTGATCGGTTTTCACCTTTGATTGGCTGCTGGCAAAGTAACATACACCTTGAACTAATTTGTTTGGCCAATCAATTAGTGTCTTTATCAGCAGTCAATACAAGTTGTTCAGTGTCAGAGAGACCTGCAATGTTATAACAAATGTATTCGTCCACATTGAAAACATTGTAATTCAAAGAATAGACAAACAGATTTTCACAGAACAGAAAGGGTGACTAAGAAAAAGAACACACAAAAAAACACAGTATGACAGGGTGTGTTAATTAGCTAGATTATTGTGTGTGTGCTTATTGTATGATATAGTGCCTACTGTGTGTCATTATAGTGGATTGGTCTGTTATTTTGAGACCTGCCTTATTTAATTGCTCTTTTTAATTGCTCGTTTTCTGCAGTATTATATCAGAAAAGTAATAACAAAGAAACAAATAATTCAAAAATAAAATACAATTTTATTGGTTGTGTACAGATTTTGCAGATGTTATCGCAGGTGCAGCGAAATTCTTATGTTTCTAGCTACAACAGTGCAGTAATAATACCTAACAATACAAAACAATACACACAAATCCCCAAAATAAAGAAATAAAGAAATATCAGAACGAGCAATATCAGAGTCTGAAACATGCTCACAGCCACAGGAAAAACATGAACTCCTGGCAGATTAGATGGGGAGCATATTCTTTCAGCGCTGGATAAGTGAAGATCATTCCTCAATTACATTGGGGTGTGGTTGCTGGCCCTCTCTTGTTTCACAAAATGTCACAAAAAATAATTTAGCTGCAGTGACTCAAGCTCTGAGGTACACTCCTCTCCTCCACACTTAGGGGCAATTAATTCATTGTACATCTTCCGTCTGTCCACTGCATGTAAATATATTGTAGTTACTAGCTAGTTACAACACAGAGCATGTCTACTGGACATGGCTAAAAGCCACCCAGCAAGCTGGACATTCAGTCATTCTCAAATGGAACACATTCCCATTCCGTACAGTCCTGCCCTCAACCCGTTCATATTTTTGGCACTGGGGCAGGTGGTGTGCTTCTTATCCTATCATTGTGCATATGTATGAGCGTGTGTCCGTGTGTCTTTAATGGTTTGTGTGTGTGTGTGTGTGCATATTATGTGTTTGAACGTACTGTATGTATACATATCCATGTGCATACCGAATGTGACAGAATTCAAGTTATATTTGCACTAGTTAGGTATTTCAATTTTTAGTTAGACTTCCTATATCCCACTATTCCACTTATTCACACATCTCAGCAGTTGCGCAATTTCTATTGTGAATTCTAAATCAGTGGAATGTTTTCTCACTCTCCCTCTCCCAGTTGTTTTTCAGTATGAGGTCAGAGGTGTTAGGTTTCTTAGTAATGAAGAAGAAGCATTCCTTTCTTTCTCTGTCTATAATTTATCTTCAATCTCTCCACTCCTTTCTTTGATTCTCCTCATTGGCAAGTATGTAAGGAATGAGCCGGCCCTCTTCCAGTGTTTCCTCATTGAAACTGTGATCTGTCACTGTGTAGTAACAATTAGTGAGAGGCAGGAATGCAGACAGAGTGTGGGAAAGACTTTCAGAGGGACTAAAGAAGTGACTGGATAGGCCTCTACAAAGAGGATTATGAAAGAGTTGGATAAAGGAGCATAGGACAGGAAGACGACATACACACGATAGGAGATGATAGTGAGCTTTCCTGCACTCATGAGAGCACAACATTTGATTTGTGATGCACATTGGCCAATTATAATGGCAACTGTTCAAAAGTTATCGGATGGATCTGGATTGATGATAGAGTAATAAGCACAAGCAAAATGAAAACGATACATGGCCCTCTCTGTTTTCTTTTGATTCTCAGGATGCCTGTGGAAACGCTGTCAGTCAGACACTCTCGGTCTAATGTGGGTAGGTTCCCATCAGTCACATTGGGATGGGGGCAGGATGAGCCAGAGAAGGAGGAACCAGAGGAGGAGAACACAGAGGAGGGGGCGTGTCGGCGATGGTTATGTAAGATCTGTCCTTGCTGCTGTCAAAGACAGAACGATGATGATGACATCACAGATATGGTCGTGACCGGGATCCCGGATGTAGACAACGATGCGGGGATGAATGGCGACAAGCCAGTCACTGGTGGAAGTGAGCTCGAAGGTAATTTACTCTTTTAAAACTCCCAAACTTTTCATCATTACTACGCTAGACATTGTGGCATTTGTGACAAAATGGTTGACATTAAAATGGCCTACCTTTCTTATCTCCTTGTCTCAGAGCTGTTGTTGACAGTGCGGTCCGTAGACCTGATGAAAACCAAGATGGGTCTGAACCGCCTGGAGCATCACACAGACCGTTACTATGGTGATGACCTCATCATCCGCAGGGGGAAGACCTTCATGATGTGGCTTGACCTCTCACGACCTTATGACCCCAACACAGACAGACTCCACCTGGAGCTTAAGACAGGTCAGTGAGACATTCTGCAGAATCATGATAGGCTACTGTGACTCAACAACGGCCTCCCCTGTCCCCCTTCTGGGAAACCCTAGGGCTAATAGGTGCACATGATAACAGTAAGCCCTTTATAACTAATCATGGGAACTTTGAAAGTAACTTTAAGTGGTATGAAACTTTTGTTTACGGGTATGAGCGTGTGTGCTTGTTTGTGTGTGTGTGTGTGTGTGTGTGTCTGTGTTAAAGTGTTTGTGTGCTTGTGTCTCTGAAGCCTTGTGCCTCCACTATGTTTTGGTGGTTATCGCCATGGTAACTGATTCATCCGTGTGGTTGGTGGCAAGTCTCCAGTGTTTTAGAGGAGAATGCCTCTCTCACAGTCCTGCCCAAATCCCCTCTTTCCACTGACAACTATCTCCTACCATAAACAGCTTTAATAACCACCAACCAGCTCACCAACTCAATTCACCATGCCCTTTCAGCTTCTTGATTGTAAACTTTATCTTAGAGTATGTGTGTACTATATGAGGAGATGTGTCTTAATCTTGCTGGGTGGTAGCCAGTGTATTAATAGACAAGCAGCAAATCACCATCTGAGCCATGCTGGTATTTATAGAACAGCAACATGCAGGACAGATACTGTATGGCTCTTTAGAATGAGTGTACTGTGGGTGGATTGTGTGTGTGTGTGTGTGTGTGTGTGTGTGTGTGTGTGTGTGTGTGTGTGTGTGTGTGTGTGTTTGTGTTTGAAGAAGTGAGTTTTTCTGCTTGTTTTTTCTAACACACCCTGTTATGGTAGGAATGCACCCAGCTAGCACATTTGGTTCCTTGGAAATTGTGGGAATGTACAGTATGTTTTTGGTTTCACATTGGTTGTGAGAACGAAGCCATATGTTTCCTGACTGGTAAAACGGAGAACAGAAGTGAAAATTTAGCCTGTTCTGTGAACGTTTATTTTAATAGGTTGCAGAGAGGTTCTAAAAACGTTTTACTCTGGTTCCTTGAACGTTTTCCTGGTTTTATTTATTAACGCTTTGAGAACGGAAATGATAGGTTATTTGGAGGTTTTTTAATATCTTCCTTAAAACTTCCACTGAATGTTTAAATAAGACTGCTATCCTATTTTGGGTTAACCTTTTTGAAATCCAAGCACAGATAGGACACATGGAAATGTATTTCTTTAGGCATTAATCATGCAAACACATACAGTACATTTCTTTATTTTGACACAGCATCAATGAGATTCAAACCTATAATTTTCTGTGCTCTGCTCATGGAATTAGTCCATTGCGTCATCAGGATGGAGCTAGCATACAATGTTTTTTTTTACACATACAAAGCTGTTTGTTTCAGTCTACTCCAGGGGTGTCCAAATAATTTAATGGAGGGCCTAGTGTCTGCTGGTTTTTGGTTTTTCCTTTCAATTAGAACCTAGACAACCAGGTGAGGGGACCCCATTTCAAAGGAAACAAGCACTCATTAAGATCAGGTGTGGCCAATTAGTGGGTGTGGCCAACACACCTGAACACACTTAACAAGATAGTGGATAGAGAGAGTTTTGATGATGCTGAGAATGGAATGTATCTTTTTAAATAACATTAGAAGTTTTCTTGTGGTTTTTATGGAAAGTTTTCTTAACGTTCTCAGAACAATGTGAGAACATGGCTTTAAATAGAACCATGAGAAAACCTGTAGAAAACTTTATGATGAAGTACTGAAATTCCTAAAGAAGAACGTTGTTTCTTAACATTCTCTGAATTATTTGAGTTCAGAGAACCATTTAAATGTAGCCATGTTTGAACTTTTAGAAAACATTCTGTTAAAGTAATGAAATACCAAGAAATTTCATTTTTTTTGTGAAGTTCCTTAAATGTGCTGAGAATGTTCCAAAGCCAAGCAACTATCCTTCACCATTCCCAGAAGGTAGTTGTGGGAAGGTTGTATGCAAAATAACCATTGTACAACCACGCTCTCATCAAGCTCTAAGACACATATGGTTCTCAGAACATTATGTATTAGCTGGACAGGGTGCGGTCACCAATCTGGAATAGAACTCTTTCGGGAGGGAATACATCGATGGCGTTTATAACTAACTACAGGAAATTAGCCATAGTGTGTGTGTGAAAAGTTTTATTACGATATGAAACTCTTGTTTTTGGCAGCGTTGCCAACATGTCAACATATTTTTTTCCTGATAGCAACAAGGGACAGCAACTTCAGGTTATTTTTTTGCAAAAAGTGATACATTCAGTTAAAATATGAGTAAGAGATATTGCACCACAGAATTACACCACATTTTGTTCTTATCCCACTGAGTAATATGTCTGTGTGTTTCTGGGACAGGATCCCAGCCTACAGTGGCAAAGGGCACCCATGTCATCATCCCATTGGTTGAGGAGCTGGAGGATGACTGTTGGGAGGCCAAGATCGTGAAACGGGATGGCAACAGGATGAAGCTGTCTGTTAACTCCCAGCCCACTGCCGTGATTGGCCGATACCAGCTCACTGTGGCAACGCATAGCCCGAAGGGCGAGGCCACATCTACACATGACCCAGGGAATGACATCCGCATGCTGTTTAACCCTTGGTGTGAAGGTGAGAGAGAGAGAGAGAGAGAGAGAGAGAGAGATTAAATTAGTTAATGCAAAGAGAGCTTATCCCTGTTCTCAGCCAACCCCACTGACTCTTAAAAATAATACTCACACCCAACATAATAGACCCACATTTGTTTTCTCCTTATCATAACGAGATCTCTGGGTGGTATTATGAAACATAATCTAACCGGTCAAGTAAGCCATATATTTGTGTAATGAAGGAAATATGTGTCACTCAGAGGACCTAGTCATTCACCCTTCTGTAAACTCAGAGACTCTCCATAGTCCACTCCATCCTCATTTCAGGCTGATGACATCACATAATGGAATTGTTTTCTTTTTGAATAACTGAATCTGACCGCTCTCTCTCTCTCGCAATCAGAAGACACAGTGTACATGGACGATGAGGAGGAGAAGAATGAGTATGTCCTGAATGATGTCGGTAGGCTTTACTATGGCACAGAAAACCAGATTGGTGCAAGAACGTGGAACTATGGACAGGTGAAGGAACATGAAGATTGTCAGTCAGGTGATGGGAAAATGGCCTGAGTAGGACAGACCCAACTAACTTATTTCTGTCATTGCCCCTGCTTCTCTCTCTCCTTCCATCTCTACCTCTCTATTTCTCAGTTTGATGAGGGGATCCTGGATGCCTGTCTGTATGTTTTGGAGAAGAGTGCGACCCCCCCCTCAGGCTGGGGAGACTCTGTCAATGTAGTCCGAGTCATTTCAGCCATGGTGAGTCCTCCTCGCAAACACAAGGTTTCTTAAAAACCTCACACTATTACCTCTAACCTCACCTCTAAGTCCAATCAATGTCCAACCAAACTGGCACCTCATTATTCCAACTCTAAATTGAATTCAAAGTTAACCCATAGTCTCCCTTATCCCAGATCAACTCCCCAGATGACTGTGGGGTCGTGGAGGGTAATTGGTCAGGGAACTATGTGGGAGGGACTTCCCCTACAGCTTGGAGTGGCAGTATGGACATCCTGAAGAAGTATCATAAGGACGGAGGCACACCGGTCAGATATGGCCAGTGTTGGGTCTTCTCTGGGGTCACTACCACAGGTTAGTTATGTGTGTTTGTTTGTACATGATCAAATGACTTTTATGAGAGTGTGCTAGGTTGATATTCATTGACCCCTAACCTCTCACCCTCCTATCTCTTTCAGTGTTGAGGTGTTTGGGCATTCCCTCCCGTAGTGTGTCCAACTTCAACTCTGCCCATGACACAGATGTCTCCTTGACAACAGACGTGTACTTCAATGAGAATTTGGAGTCTATAGATCACCTCAACGCTGACTCTATCTGGTTAGTAGAATGTCATCACACACCACTCTTATGTAAATACAATATGGATTTACTAGATTACATCTAAATTACAACCCATCCCTCCATCATTTCTTTCTTTAGGAACTTCCATGTGTGGAACGACTGTTGGATGGCTCGTCCAGACTTGCCACCAGGTCATGGTGGCTGGCAGGCGGTAGACTCCACCCCCCAGGAGACCAGCCAGGGCACCTTCCGCTGCGGCCCTGCCTCCATCACCGCCATCCGCAACGGACAAGTGTTCCTCAAACATGACTCGCCCTTCGTCTTTGCCGAGGTCAGTCTAGTCTAGTGTGTCTTCCTCTTTATTCCTTTGTCTTTGCTGAGATGTCGTTCTCATACCTCTCTCTGCCTGACCTCAGCTCTCCATGCTAGCAGGGTACAAAGTTTCTATGTCTATCTCAGATGCACAGTGATGACATGCCCCTGTTAGTCTCAGATGTCCTCCATCTCGACCATCTCTACCTCTCTCTTCCTGCTGTACCTGTCCTGTAGGTGAACAGTGATAAGATCTACTGGCAGAGGAACCTGGATGGCACCTTCACCCAGATCCACAGTGAGAAGAATGCGGTGGGCCACTGTATCAGCACCAAGGCTGTGGGCTCAGACGAACGCAACGATATCACACACCTTTACAAGCACCCAGAAGGTAGCTTCACATAGCTGTGCAAACACTGACATGCATTACATATCATTGTTTTATTACACACTTATACAAGCAGACTCCTGTACAAGGCAAGCACCCAGAAGGTAAAATGCATTAATTCCGACTTTATTGTCATCAGGCACAGAAGAGGAACGCATTGCTGTGGAGACTGCCAGTCGCTATGGTTCCAAACCAGATACCTACTCCTCTCCCATCGCTGAGGATGTATCAATAGAGGTGACCATGGATGGGGAGGGGCCACGCATGGGGGGAGATGCAGAACTGAACATTGTAATGCAAAATGCTAGTTCTCTACCACGCACCATCAACCTCCACAGCCAGGTGGCAGTCATGTACTACACTGGCGTGCTCAAGGCCACCGTCAAGAAGGACGAAACTCCTGTGGAGCTGCTACCCAATGAAGGTGAGCCACTGGGAATATCTTGTATTACATATCAGTGACGTTCAGTCAGACATTGTTATTCATTGCATGCCCAGGTTTTTCTGATCCCTAGTCCTGTCCTGTCCCCCTCTCCTAACAGTGAAGACCCTGGAGTGGATCCTTCAGTACCAGCACTATCAGGACCAGCTAGTGGACCAGGCTGCTCTGATGCTGACCCTCTCAGGCCGGGTCACTGAGACACAGCAGGTCCTTGCCACTCAGTTCAGCTTCCGCCTCCGCACCCCTGACCTCATCATTAAGGTGAGACAAAACTAAACAGACTGAATGAATTGTATCCACAGCATTTTTCTTTCTGTATATAATCTGTCTTTCTTTGTGTCTGATATTGTCTACTGACAATATGATTCAGAGATGTTCTGTAGTGGTAACAGTTCCCTATACTTTTCCCTCCTAGCCGGTAGGGGAGGCTGTGGTTGGGAAAAAGATGGCGGCTGAGATTTCCTTCACCAACCCTCTGCCACGCACGCTGAAGGGAGTGTTGTTCCATGTGGAGGGGCTGGGCCTGCAGAGTATTCGACAGATCGCTGTTGGGTGAGAAACAATTATTATTCTGTTCACTATCTGCAGCTTCATCTAAGCACGGTTTAGTCCTTATGACTCTGAAGGTGCACTATGTGTGACGTATGTTGTCACTGTTCTTTTATGTTCTGAACAAGCACAGTTCTGAGTGTCTCTCTCATCTCCTCTCTCAGTGACGTGGCCAGTCACTCCTCTGTGACTCTGACGGAGCACTTTGTTCCTACTCTGCCTGGATCCAGGAAACTGGTGGCTTCTCTGGACTGTAAGCAGCTCACACAGGTCCACGGTGTCGCCAACATTGACGTCAAGGAGAAATGAGCCTTTGGACACCATAGACCCCTTTTGGTCTGCTTGACTATTGAGGCATAATCACTGTGGATGACATAAGACGTCATCACCCTCTCCTCCTCCATACCAGAGCACTGATGTTGCTGTTGAGTTCATTATGATGTTTGAAAGTACAGTCTAAGCTTGAGACACAGGAAAACCATACACCATGCAAGACAAACCTGTATTATGTGCCTTGAAAAGTGCCTAAGCATATAATTGCAGTCTTTACAAGAGTGGTATTAGAATTTGTATAATTGCATAACATATCTTACCTACTGAACAGAGCACAAGCTATATGACACATCGGAACAATAATGTTTGTTTAGTATGCTGTACAGTAAAGCAAAAATACTGTGTACAGAGTGGTTTGTTCTGTTGCTAGAGCATTGTATATCTATGACAATCAGATTTTTCTCTGATATTATTTTCTAACACTTATTAGAAGGAGTATGCGTTACCTTACACTGTACATTTGAATAATGCTATGGTGTTATTAACTTATAAAACATTGTTGTTGATGTTAAGAGATCAGTTATTTTAAACATACAGGTAACTGCCAAAATAAAGAAATCAATGTATATTGAAAGCAGGTGCTTCCACACAGGTGTGGTTCATGAGCAATTCATAAGCAATTAACATGCCATTATGCTTAGGATCATGTATAAAAATGCTGGGCAGGCCAAGTTGCCCATTATTTTTGCTACCATGGCTATGCCCCCATAGGATGACAATAACCTTATCCACAGGGCAAGAGTGGACACTGAATGGTTTGATGAGCATGAAAATTATGTAAACCATATGCTATGGCCATCTCCAGATTTCAGCCCAATTGAACACTTATGGGAGATTCTGGAGCAGTGCCTGAGAAGGTTTTCCACCACCATCAACAAAACACCAAATTATGGAATTTATTGTGAAAGAATGGTGCTGCATCCCTCCGATAGAGTTCCAGACACTTGTAGAATCTATGCCAACATGCATTGAAGCTGTTCTGGTGGCTCGTGGTGGCCCAACACCCTATTAAAACACTTTATGTTGGTTTTTCCATTATTTTGGCAGTTACCTGTATATCCATGCTTATGCACTACAGTGTAAACGTCTAAAAGTCGTTCTATGTGAAATTGATGAACAAGACCGTATTATGAAGTCAAGTTAAAGATGCTCCATCCCAGGTTTTGTAGCAACATCAGCTGCCTTTTCTAAATGGCAGCTTTGGCGCTTAACGAACCTACAGTGTCACAAACTGATGAAATTATGAAATGGCAGCTACATCACAAACAGTAGAGTCTGTAACTGCTTTCAATGTTTGAAAACAGAAAATAGATTGTATTTATGTGCTATTTACGTTTTTATACTGTATTATACCATGTAAGTAAATTATTTCACTTCAAAAATCTGTCGATGTGCCCTTGAGCAAGGCACTTAACCCTGATTGCTCATGTAAGTCGCTCTGGATAAGAGCGTCTGATAAATGACAAAAAAATAAATATATATATATATATATAATAATAATAATAATATTTTGCCCTTATTCTGTATGTGTGAGAGAGCGAGCGAGCGAGCAAGAGAGAGAGGATAGGATGAACTTTGTTCCCGAGGGGAAAATTGTCTTAGACACACAGAGTGAGAGAGAGAAAGTGGTATAGTGACAGAAACAGGTCTACACAAGTACAGGATTTGGATGGGCCCCCTCTCCCCTCCACCTTGCGGCAAAACATTTTAGTTGCCCCCCTTGACGGATAATTTCCTGCAATTCTACACATTTTGCCATGGGGCATAGAGAAAATGTAGCAATTGTATAACATATTTCATGCAATTCTACTAATTTTGCCATGGGGCAGAGATAAAAATGTTTTAAAAAACATGTTTTAAAGCTAATTTCCTGCAATTCTACACATTTTGCCATGACTTATGCCATGTTAATATGATATCGGAGTGAGAATGAGTAACAAAATCAATGGGGGCCACCTGGAGGTCAGGGCCCTGGGCATGTGCCCTGCGTGCCCGGTCAGTATTCAGCCTTGATTACCACAAGTTTAGATAGTCTAGCCAGCTAACTACCAATCAAAAAATTGTTAGCTGACATGGCTAATTGAGTGACTGTCAGTGACTGATATAACAAGATATAAACTGCTGAACAATGCACAACCACATTTCTAAATTGCACCTGGTGTATTCTACTATTCTTACGCTCATAAATAAGTTGAGACCCCGACTGAGTTCTGACTGTCGCTTATGCCTGGAGCCAGCCCTGCATACACATACAGTGCATTCAGAAAGTATTCAGACCCCTTTACTTTTTCCACATTTTGTTACGTTACAGCCTTATTCTAAAATTGATTAAATAAATATTTTTTCCTGCTCAATCTACACACAATACCCCATAATGACAAAGCAAAAACAACTTTTTAGAAATGTTTGCAAATGTATACAGTGGGGAAAAAAAGTATTTAGTCAGCCACCAATTGTGCAAGTTCTCCCACTTAAAAAGATGAGAGAGTCCTGTAATTTTCATCATAGGTACACGTCAACTATGACAGACATATTGGAGAAAAAAAATCCAGAAAATCACATTGTAGGATTTTTTATGAATTTATTTGCAAATTATGGTGGAAAATAAGTATTTGGTCACCTACAAACAAGCAAGATTTCTGGCTCTCACAGACCTGTAACTTCTTCTTTAAGAGGCTCCTCTGTCCTCCACTCGTTACCTGTATTAATGGCACCTGTTTGAACTTGTTATCAGTATAAAAGACACCTGTCCACAACCTCAAACAGTCACACTCCAAACTCCACTATGGCCAAGACCAAAGAGCTGTCAAAGGACACCAGAAACAAAATTGTAGACCTGCACCAGGCTGGGAAGACTGAATCTGCAGCTTGGTTTGAAGAAATCAACTGTGGGAGCAATTATTAGGAAATGGAAGACATACAAGACCACTGATAATCTCCCTCGATCTGGGGCTCCACGCAAGATCTCACCCCGTGGGGTCAAAATGATCACAAGAACGGTGAGCAAAAATCCCAGAACCACACGGGGGGACCTAGTGAATGACCTGCAGAGAGCTGGGACCAAAGTAACAAAGCCTACCATCAGTAACACACTACGCCGCCAGGGACTCAAATCCTGCAGTGCTAGACGTGTCCCCCTGCTTAAACCAGTACATGTCCAGGCCCGTCTGAAGTTTGTTAGAGTGCATTTGGATGATCCAGAAGAGGATTGGGAGAATGTCATATGGTCAGATGAAACCAAAATAGAACTTTTTGGTAAAAACTCAACTCGTCGTGTTTGGAGGACAAAGAATGCTGAGTTGCATCCAAAGAACACCATACCTACTGTGAAGCATGGGGGTGGAAACATCATGCTTTGGGGCTGTTTTTCTGCAAAGGGACCAGGACGACTGATCCGTGTAAAGGAAAGAATGAATGGGGCCATGTATCGTGAGATTTTGAGTGAAAACCTCCTTCCATCAGCAAGGGCATTGAAGATGAAACGTGGCTGGGTCTTTCAGCATGACAATGATCCCAAACACACCGCCCGGGCAACGAAGGAGTGGCTTCGTAAGAAGCATTTCAAGGTCCTGGAGTGGCCTAGCCAGTCTCCAGATCTCAACCCCATAGAAAATCTTTGGAGGGAGTTGAAAGTCTGCCCAGAAATGTTGCCCAGCGACAGCCCCAAAACATTACTGCTCTAGAGGAGATCTGCATGGAGGAATGGGCCAAAATACCAGCAACAGTGTGTGAAAACCTTGTGAAGACTTACAGAAAACGTTTGACCTGTGTCATTGCCAACAAAGGGTATATAACAAAGTATTGAGAAACTTTTGTTATTGACCAAATACTTATTTTCCACCATAATTTGCAAATAAATTCATTAAAAATCCTACAATGGGATTTTCTGGATTTTTTTTCCTCATTTTGTCTGTCATAGTTGATGTGTACCTATGATGAAGATTACAGGCCTCTCTCATCTTTTTAAGTGGGAGAACTTGCACAATTGGTGGCTGACTAAATACTTTTTTTCCCCACTGTAAATAAAAAAACCTGAAATATTTATTTTACATAAGTATTCAAACCCTTTGCTATGAGACCCGAAATTGAGCTCAGGTACATCCTGTTTCCATTGATCTTCCTTGAGATGTTTCTACAACTTAATGGGAGTCCACCTGTGGTAGATTCAATTGATTGGACATGATTTGGAAAGGCACACACCTGTCTATATAAGGTCCCACAGTTGACAGTGCATGTCAGAGCAAAAACCAAGCCATGAGGTTGAAGGAATTGTCTGTAGAACTCCGAGACAGGATTGTGTCGAGTCACAGATTTGCGGAAGGACACCAAACAATTTCTGCAGCATTGAAGGTCCCCAAGAACACAGTGGCCTCCATCATTCTTAAATGGAAGAAGTTTGGAACCACCAAGACTCTTCCTAGAGCTGGCCGCCCAGCCAAACTGAGCAATCGGGGGAGTAGGGCCTTGGTCAGGGAGGTGACCAAGAACCCGATAGTCACTCTTAAGGAGCTCCAGAGTTCCTCTGTGGAGATGGGAGAATCTTCCAGAAGGACAACCATCTCTGCAGCACTCCACCAATCAGGCCTTTATGGTAGAGTGGCCAGACGGAAGCCACTCCTCAATAAAAGGCACATGACAGCCAGCTTGGAGTTTGCCAAAAGGCACCTAAAGACTCTCAGACCATGAGAAACAAGATTCTCTGGACTGATGAAACCAAGATCGAACTCTTTGGCTTGAATGCCAAGCGTCAGGTCTGGAGGAAACCTGGCAGCATCCCTACGGTGAAGCATGGTGGTGGCAGCATCATGCTGTGGGGGTGTTTTTCAGCGGCAGGGACTGGGAGACTAGTCAGGATTGAGGCAAAGACGAACAGAGCAAAGTACAGAGAGATCCTTGATGAAAACCTGCTCCTGAGCGCTCAGGACCTCAGACTGGGGCAAAGGTTCACCTTCCAACAGGACAACGACCCTAAGCACACAGCCAAGACAACGCAGGAGTGGCTTCGGGACAAGTCTCTGAATGTCCTTGAGTGGCCCAGCCAGAGCCCGGACTTGAACCTGATCAAACATCTCTGGAGAGACCCGAAAATAGCTGTGCAGCGACACTTCCCATCCAACCTGACTGTGCTTGAGAGGATCTGCAGAGAAGAATGGGAGAAACTCCCCAAATGTTTTATTTATTTTATTTAACCTTTATTTAACTAGGCGTCAGTTAAGAACAAATTCTTATTTACAATGACGGCCTACCAAAAGGCAAAAGGCCTCCTGAGGGGTTGTGCCAAATTTAGGTGTGCCAAACATGTTTTTCTTTATTTTTACTATTTTAAGACATCAACATTATGAAATAACATATATGGAATCATGTAGTAACCAAAAAAGTGTTAAACAAATCAAAATATATTTGACATTTTTCAAATAGCCACCCTTTGCCTTGATGACAGCTTTGCACACTCTTGGCATTCTCTCAACCAGATTCATGAGGTAGTCACCTCATGCATTTCAATAAATAGGTGTGCCTTCTTAAAAGTTAATTTGTGGAATTTCTTTCCTTCTTAATGCGTTTGAGCCAATCAGTTGTTTTGTGACAAGGTAGCGGGGGTATACAGAAGGTATCCCTATTTGGTAAAAGACCAAGTCCATATTATGGCAAGAACAGCTCAAATAAGCAAAGAGAAACGACAGTCCATCATTACTTTAAGACATGAAGGTCAGTCAATACGGAAAATATCAAGAACTTTGAAAGTTTCTTCAAGTGCAGTCGCAAAAACCATCAAGCGCTATAATGAAACTGGCTCTCATGAGGACAACCACAGGAATGGAAGACCCAGAGTTACCTCTGCTGCAGAGGATAAGTTCATTAGAGTTACCAGCCTCAGAAATTGCAGCCCAAATAAATGCTTCACAGAGTTCAAGTCACAGACACATCTCAACATCAACTGTTCAGAGGGGACTGTGTGAATCAGGCCTTCATGGTCGAATTGCTGCAAAGAAACCACTACTAAAGGTCACCAATAAGAATAGATCTGCTTGGGCCAAGAAACACGAGCAATGGACATTAGACCGGTGGAAATGTGTCCTTCGGTCTGTAGTCCGAATTGGAGATTTTTGGTTCCAACCGCCGTGTCTTTGTGAGACGCGGTGTGGGTGAACGGATGATCTCCGCATGTGTAGTTCCCACCGTAAAGCATGGAGGGGGTGTTATGGTGTGGGGTTGCTTCGCAGGTGACACTGTCTGTGATTTATTTAGAATTCAAGGCACACTTAACCAGCATGGCTACCACAGCATTCTGCAGCGATAAGCCATCCCATCTGGTTTGGGCTTAGTGGGACTATCATTTGTTTTTCAACAGGACAATGACCCAACACACCTCCAGGCTGTGTAAGGGCTATTTTACTAAGAAGGAGAGTGATGGAGTGCTGCATCAGATGACCTGGCCTCCACAATCACCCGACCTCTAACCAATTGAGATGGTTTAGGATGAGTTGGACCTCAGAGTGAAAGAAAAGAAGCCAGCATATGCGGGAACTCCTTCAAGACTGTTGGAAAAGCATTCCAGGTGAAGCTGGTTGAGAGAATGCCAAGAGTGTGCAAAGCTGTCATCAAGGCAAAGGGTGGCTACTTTGAAGAATCTCAAATATAAAATATATTTTCATTTTTTTAACACTTGTTTGGTTACTACATCATTCCATATGTGTTATTTCATAGTTTTGATGTCTTCACTATTATTCTCCAAGGTAGGAAATAGTAAAAATAAAGAAAAACCCTGGAATTAATAGGTGTGTCCAAACTTTTGACTGGTACTGTATATATAAACTGTAATATATGTACAAATCACATCTCTCTACATTTATTTAGCCTTGTTCATATTCAGTAGTTCATTACAACACAATATTGGCAGTCATAAGACAACCTCTTCATGATAAAGTCAAGATACTATAATGGTGGTCTTATTGTCAGTCATGACATGTCAAGACAACCTCTTGAAAAGATAAACTTAAAAAGCCACATAACTCACACAGTAGGCTGTACAATATAAATAAAATGAAGCAGCATCATTAAATTAGTCAAACACACAGACTTTCTTGGTCTACAATGTCACAGTTGCTCTGCACGAGTATGTTGAACCCCTCAGGCTGATCAGCATAGACATCATGAGCTGCTCCTTCAACCACCTGAGACAAAGAAAGAAAAAGGGAGGGCAAGGAGGCAGTGTGAGGATCAGCTCGATTTCACTCTTTGTGATTTCAATATGGGTTTGGCTATCATTTCTTATTTACACGTTTTCTCCTACCACAATGAGTGATAGGTGTCTTTTTACACTCCACCTCACCACAGTGCAGGTGTAGCTGTTGGGCCTCAGCTCTGCTACTCTGGCCTCTGTAGCACTGTCCATCCAGGAGCCACCTCCACACACCAGGGTCACTGGGAGAGAGGGAGGCAGGAAGTCTAATATGGGACACTTGGCCCAGCCAAGGGACTCCGACATGGCCTTGAACCCCACCTCCCCACCGAAAAACAGAGATAGAGAGGGAGAGCAACAGAGAGAAAAATAGATAAATGCAGTGATGCATTTGCAGCAATCTACATATTCTGAATTTATATACTCAGATTTTATAATTGCTGTAGCCTACCTGGGAGTTTGGGCATTGCAGTGGTAAAGATATTGTGTCATCATCAAATAGGTCATCAAACTTCCCATTGAAATCCGGTCTGAATCTGTTGACTAATCTCAGACCTAGGCAGTGGTGACCCGTCATTCAAGGCAGGTGGGGCAGAGCCTGTTTTGCATGTTATTTTGGCATTAATACGTGTCACATATCAGTTTGCAAACAATGTACAAAATAATAATAATTGAGTTAATAAAGCTGCATATAAACATTGTCTCTTCTTTGCTTTCTTGAGTAAGGCAGCTCCAAAATGTAGGTGTTTCAGCCTAGTTCAGTGCTTTCTGTGGTGGGGGGGGCAGCCAGCGGAAAATACAGCGTGTAGGGGTTGGTAATGTTCTCTAGTTGCGCCGTGATTGGCTAAGTGTTCTGTCACTCGTTGGGACACTACGTCGCCACAAAATCTACTGGGAGCGCTCAAAAATTCAAGCCCCTTGGATGCTGCCATAGAGTTACATTAGAAGTGCCTATCCAAGAAGGCAAAAGGTCATTAGCCACAGATAAAATTACATCAAATCACATTATATCTACCGTAGCGTTGATTGGACTGATCATGTCAACATCATACTTTCAAAATCTTAGCTAGCAAGCTAGAAGTCATCATTATGAATCAAGTCGACAATCTACTGGCAAATCCTTTTCAATCCTTGTCATATGAAGAGAAATTATGAAGAGAAATTATAGATAAAACTTATCGGTGCTCATCGGCCATTGGACATAAACATTACACAACAAATTGGAAATTGCAAATTCAACAATAAGTGGTTTGGAAGGTATCGGTGGCTAACTACTAGCACTGCAAAGCAATCACTAGCCTGCTATTCAGTGGAGTGGGTGTGTGGTCCAAGTCTGGGTTGAAGGGTCTCTTTTCCAAGCATAAAAAGGATAAACATTCAACATTGGCCATGCTGTCAATCCAGCATGACTTCTGCCGCATTCAAAACAACTGGAAACTCGGAATTGGGAAATCTCAGACTTCAGTGAGTTCAAGACAACAGGGAACTGAAAAAAACTAGCTCCGACTGGGAAACTGTTTTGAACGGTCATCCAACTCGATTTTCCAAGTTGGGAATTCGGGCCTCTTTCTAGAGCTCTGACCTGAAGATCACTGATGTCATGATTCAACCTTGTTTTTTTTCTCAGAGTTCCCAGTTGTCTTAAAAGCACCATAAATCCAGAGAATGCCAGACTTTGATGTCAAAGTTTGATGACAAAATTTGCCCACGAAGGACCGCCGTGCCACCTTCCTGTTCAAGTGAGCACAGCACAACAAGATGAGTCCAAAAATGTATTGTATGCTGCTGTATAAATGATGTAATATGCCAGGGAGATATGTATACTGTAGCTAAGAAAGTAATACTAGGTGTATGTTGTGTAGTAAGCTGTTAGTAGCCCATGTGCCTCACCCTAATAATTTGGTCCCTTTTCCCCTCATATCTTAGTCTACTGTTCTGACTTGGTGGTGCACATTTAGCCTATAGCCTGTTTTAGAGAAATGTAATCATCGAATATTGTAAGAGTTTTCATTGTCTGCTTATATGCCCCCTTTATTTATCATACGGTTCTGACTTGATGTACAGGGAGAATACAGTAAGAACGGCCCATGTTCTGAATTCTGTCGCTGTACATTTCAAAAGTGCTGAACAAATAGTTATATTGACTACATCCGTCCTAGCTCGCTCGTTAATGTCTTCATCGAAATTACGGATTGCCTCTTATCCGCTCGTCGTCCCCTTATGCCATAGTTTGTACATCTCAATTGTCAGTAGAAACCATATTTATTTAAGCAAGTCAGCCATATCAGCTATGTTTTTTTTAAAGGCAGTAAATGAGGCTGAATGAACTGTTTCGCTGCCAGACAAGGCTCCGCTGATAGCCAGGTGTAGCAGTGGTAAGGTGTTGGGACTGCTGTTGGGACAGCTTTATGTAGACCCAAACAGTTTGTGGGCACAGTTTGTCACCGTTATAGTGCAATTAATGTATTGTTTAGTGTTGTGTTGTGTAGTGGCTTTGCTGGCATGCATTAAAAAAAAAAAGATTTACATGCTAAAATCGCTACTGGACCTAGGAAGGAGAGATGGGGTAGTCAAGATGAGGTAGAAATTGAGACAAAAGGATACGCAAAACAGAAAGCAAAAGGAATATAGAGTTTAGGTACAGAGTTAACCTATCTTATCTCTTATCCCTGAACCCTAGCCCATGCCACCCAGACAACCACTTGCCTCTCACCCCAGGGTCCTGCAGCTTGGATCACTGCCAGTGGGTTGAAGAGTGTAGATTAGGCAATTAGGGCCTCAACCCAGCGAGGGCAGCCTGGTCTGTCCGATCCTGAGGTTGAATCCACAGGCATGGGCTGGAAGCCCCAGGGGTCCACTAGAATCAGGTGACTGACTCTGACCGGGAAAGAACCATGTTACTCTAAGTTCATACATGTTATGCTCTTCATCATAACACCAAGGATTAGCCACTAAAGAGTGTGTCAACTGTAAATGTCGTCTCTGACCTCTCGGGGTATTGAATGGAATAGGATGTTGCCAAGTAACCGCCTAGACTATGACCCAATAGGATAATGCGATCTAGGGCCAGGGCCTGCCTCCAGTGCTCTATAGACCTGACTGACTGCTCCTCAGCCAGAGCTGGGTCCATGGGGAAGTGGGGTCTGGAGCTTTGTCCGAAACCAAGCAAGTCAAACACAAAGAGTTTCCATAACCTTACCCCTACGCCAAATCCATGGACCATTAATGGACCATTACAAGACGTGTATGTGCAACTGGAAGAGAAGAGGAAAAGGTAAATGGTTAGGCAGACTTAATGTAGTACAAAAAGTATGTTCACTGATACTCCACTGGAATAGTACGTATTTCTGTGCTGTTCAGAGTGGGCATAGAGGTGGGGCACCATGAGGGCCACCACCTACACCCAGATACTGACCTACAGAGAGGACACACACACACTTCATGATCAACAGCATTAATCAACTCGCCACTAGGATGTATAAAAAACAATGTATAAAGTTACTAAATGCTTATTCACTGTCTAGCATGCAAAACTGTTCTCAAACCAAAGTGCTCACTATTCTTAATTATTTCCAATAACTTACTTTGGTTCAGTCTCGCCTTGCATCGTTATTCCAAATAGAGAAGAGGGCATAAAGGAACATAGTCAATGTTTAAAATACATTAACAACACGTAGAATCAAAGTCAATTGCGACCGATGGAACTAATGTAGAGTAGATTATACATGCGGGAGGGAATGTTGCTGTTGTTACACCAGGGGTGTATTCAGTATCCCTTCCCGTATGTATTCATTACGTCTTGCAACGGAAACCGTTTACCTACCAAACGGAAGAAAACAGAACGAAACGGATCTACCTGAATTGGTCCAATAGAAACTCGTTTTCATTGCAAAACGTTTACCATTGGTCTTTGCTATCTGGGATCCTTGGGACGTGCTTACCCCATATTGAGGTAGAGGCAGATACTTTTGAGGAGAAATCGTATGAACGCCTTTTGTGTACGTTGCCAATGAGTCGTCAATGGACCGCGCGGTGCATTCTGGGCGATTTTAGGACAAGAGAGTTCTCGTCCAAGGAGTGAATGGGAGTGAATTTGGTGCTAGCTCAAAAACAGAACATTAGCATGAATTTCGTGAACAAGAAGTACAACGTTAAAAATATTTTCCAGATGTGTTCTCTGTAATATCGTATAGCTTCGGAATCGTGACGTTACGTCCTTTCGAAGAAAATAGGCAGGTTTCTGACCACAGAGTTTCTAAACTCAGAGGCGCAACATCGCGAGACTTCCGGGAACGCTTGCGAAAGAGACCAAACAGACCAGGCCGGGGTTTGAGAAGTCAATGAGAAAAGTAAAATATTCTTCCTTAGTTGTTAATTTTCTCGAAACCTAGATTCGAGCCAATGTCTTAAGTCGTAGAACATGTTATTACTCCAACCTTGTGAAAGTGACAAACTGACACGTTTTCATTTTTCGTCAAGAACAACTTTATGTTGAAGGAGTGGCCGTTGATTTGACGGTCTGCACATGCGCAGTTCGGCGCGAAACGACCGTTAGACCCAATGACGTGTTTCTGCGCATGAGCTTAGCTAACCAACGTCGCCTACAAGCGTGATCGGGAATTTCTATTGGAGAATAAGTTTTAGCCTATGTTCATACTGTACTGTCTTTGTCCTGATTTTGATTAAGTGATAATGCCCTCGAAGCTGGTGTTTGGAGGAGATATTGGCACGGGTGTTGCTCCCGTGCCAATATCTCCTCCAAACACCGGCTTCGAGGGCATTATCGCTTTTATACAACGGATTACCAACATATTCAAATAATAATAATATAATGACATTTAGCAGACGCTTTTATCCAAAGGGACTTACAGTCATGTGTGCATACATTTTTACGTATGGGGTGGTCACGGGGATCGAACACACTACCCTGGCGTTACAAGCGTCATGCACTACCAATTGAGCTACAGAGGACCACATAATGATTGACATATTTTCATTCAACGTTATTTTGATGAATTTATTCATACTATTTCATCCTTCCACAAGATATAGTCCCGACACAAATGTAGGGTTGCCGTTCTATCGGTTCGGTTGCCAGAGACTCGACCCAGTCATTCAGTCTTTTTGTTCAGTATCTATAGACGCGATCCAGTCATTCGTTCTAAATGGCAACATTCTTTTCCCTTTTCCCTTGCTTGCTAGCCAACTACGGCTAACTTACAGACAAGTCAAAAAGTGCACCAAGACTAAACGCAAAGTAGCTGCATTTGCATTTGTTTAAGCTGTTCTTCGTGAGATTTATTTGGATACATCCATAACAATGAGCTAATGAGGCGAGATTTCGCCTGGCGTAAAAAATGTGCTCACTTTTCAGGGCACTTGTTCAGAGAGGAGCTAGCCAACAACACAGCTAACACAATCACTTCAAACTGAAACTGGAAAGACTGCAAACTAGCTGCACTTTGTTTCGTTTTACCTTTTTTAATTGACATTGCATTGTATATATCCATAAAAATGATGCCAGCTGATTCCCAACACGTTCATTACTATGGGACAGCTGGAGATCGAATTTGAATATTGAAAGAATGTTGCAAATGTCGGAGAGACAGACAGCAAGGTTTATACCAGGGTTCTTCAATTCCGGTCCTGGAGGGCCGAAACACTTCTGTTTTTTATTTCTGCCTGGTAGTTAATTGCACTCACCTGGTGTCCCAGGTCTGAATTAGCCCCTGATTAGAAGGAGAGGATGAAAAACAGAGGTGTTTCGGCCCTCCAGGACCGGAATTGAAGAACCCTGGTTTATACAAATCTCCGCTGTTGAAAACTACATGTTGGTCTAAAAGAAATGTCAGATAATGTCTAGATGCTTTTTATAGTGGAGATCAAGTTTATTAAGTGCCTGGCTGGGCTGATGAGATAGTGGATTGCCCAGTCAGATGGAACAGAGTAAATAGGCATTTTAAGGTAATAGATTTAGCCAGTGGTAATTTGTGGATTATAAACTGGGTGGTTCGTGCCCTGAATGCTGATTGGCTGACAGCCATGGAATATCAGACCATATACCACGGGTATGACAAAACATTTATTTTTACGGCTGTAGTTATGTTGGTGACCAGTTTATAATAGCAATAAGGCACCTCTGGAGTTTGTGGTATATGGCCAATATACCACAGCTAAGGGCTGTATCCAGGCACTCCGCATTGCGTCGTGTGTAAGAACAGCCCATAGCTGTGGTATATTGGCCATATAGCACACCCCCTCGGGCCTTATTGCTTAAATAGACACTGGCTGGAATGCGGTTTTAACCAATCAGCATTCAGGATTAGACCCACCCGTTGTATAAAAGCAGCATGACAACGTGAATGCGATTGCTCGACAGTCTGCTGGGTGGGGCATTATACATCAAATCAAGTTGTATTTGTCACATGCGCCGAATACAAATCAAATCAAATTGTATTGGTCACATACACATATTTAGCAGATGTAGCGAAATGCTTGTGTTCCTAGCTCCAACAGTGCAGTAGTATCTAACAATTCACAACAATACACACAAATCTAAAAGTAAAATAATGGAATTAAGAAATATATAAATATTAGGACGAGCAATGTCAGAGTGGCATTGACTAAAATACAGTAGAATAGAATACAGTATATACATATGAAATTAGTAAAGCAGTATGCAAACATTATTAAAGTGAAATGCTTGTGTATGAGCCTGTTTTTCCATTCATTGTCCAATTGGATTCCTCCCTCCTTTCTGTAATATCTCTGGTTAGGGTTTAGGACACTGAGGTATAGGTTTAGGGTAGGGACGTCCCAAGGATTCCGGATAACACTAACCTTTTTCCGTTTGGAGTCTTGCAACAGATGAAACGTTTAGCAACAGAATCGCGTAATGAATACACCCCACTGATACACCCCCGTTTCAGTGACACGTCATTTTTGTGCGGCCTCTGACGGAAGCGACTTACATCTTGATTTTCTCTGCATGTTTTGGGGCTTTTTGTTAAAAAGAAAACATGTCCAACTCGGTAATTTCAGTTATTTCTCGGTTCTTGGAGGAATACAGGACCAAAACATCGAATAAATTGAAAGTGGTCGACGCCTACCTTTTCTACATTTTGTTAACTGGTGCATTGCAGTTTCTGTACTGCTTGCTTGTTGGCACCTTCCCATTCAACAGCTTTCTGGCCGGGTTCATTTCTTGTGTTGGAGCCTTCATCCTGGGAGGTAATTTAAACACTCAACTGTCAACTTATTTGCATAATCTTGTGATATTCAGCTATATTGTACATCAGTGAAGCATGAATATAACCAATGGCAGCCACCATTATTGTGAAATGGTTTCTGATCAACCCACCCCATCTTCTGGCCTCCCTCTCTGCTTACAGTCTGCCTGCGTATCCAGATCAATCCAGATAACAAAGGAGACTTCCTGTCCATATCCCAGGAGAGGGCCTTTGCCGATTTCTTATTAGCCCACACTGTCCTGCACCTCGTGGTCATCAATTTCATTGGTTGAGAAATTAATTAATTTGGACCCTCAGACCAGGTGTGAACAGTAAGCACAAAGTACAACATCCTCACAGTAATTGTTATCCAGTGTTATAAATCTGCATGTTACTGACATGATTCTTGTTTATTTCATTTCACAGATGAACAACAGACATGACCAAAATGCCCCTGTCACCTCAAGACAACATTTATACAATAAGACTATGCCACCCTAATTTACCCTGACTGTAAGTGAATGGGCAGATCAATAATGACTGTAATAATACCTAAATCTTCTACACATTTCTGTAACTCAACTCAGTTTCTTAAATAATTATTTTGTACTGTTTGTGTGATTGTTGCAATCCACTTGAGATTGTTGAAATACAATAAACAGAATTGTTGAAGAGACTTAGTTGTGATTTTAATGGAAGATCTCTTTGCCAGTATTGATAATGATTTTCTGAGCAGACCATTCAATAACTAGGACTGAAGACAACTCCCCAATCTGACTTATTCTAAAGCTACTTGCACTGTAGGGCTGTTATATACTACATGTTTATGACCTAATGGTTAGCTATAGACTGCAGTATTCAAATATAAAAGATGTACACTAAATTCCCAGATGCTTCTTTCTCTGACACCATCCAAAGCTTTGTATTTTTCATAACTAATGTAATGATAGTTGTCCATTACACCTTTATTAATTACTAGTAATGAAAACTTGGTCAACTCTGTTCATCTTGATACATTGGTCTAGTTCAAAATAAGGCAACAGTAAACATGTTGTCCCCCACGAATGATGCAGAAATAAGCTAAAGAAAAAGGACAGCGCTCTCCACATGACCTTTCCAATAAGTATTGTGAGAGAGAGAGCTTGGTGAGTTCTGTCTAGTATGACTGCCGAGTGTATCACTAACTATGATAAATAAATAAAAAAGGCAACAGTAAACATGTAGTCCCCCACGAATGATAAATATTTCAGAGTTCCCAGTTGTTTTGAACTCGGCATTAATCAAGACAGACCTTTTTCGTTATCTGACACAACTGTAGGGCAGTAGGATTCACTTTCGTGTATGCCCAGCAGATGGCAGTAAAATACATTTTAAAGGGAAATAAAAAATATTTCCAAACTTTGTAGCGAGTATTTTGGTCTTTTCGAGATTCCGTATGTGCAACCACAATAATATTCCCCGACTCATATATTTCCAGAGAAAGGTTGCTATACCGTTTTGATACTTCTGAAAAGCATCCATGTAACTTCAGGTAAAGATATTTTCTGTACATATATTTATATAAACTATGAGCTTTAAAATATTGCTGACAAGTTGGTATGTACCTAGCTATACAAGCAATCTGTTTGCTAGTTGGAATTAATTATCTAGAAAAGCTAGCGCCAGCCAGCCAACTAGCTAGCTACTGTAGTGTACTGTAGTTAGCTTGGCCATTTTCACATACCGGTAGCTATAATAAAGAGTACATTTGGAAACTCTGGGTATAAGGAGCCATGAAGACCATCAAGAGCATCAAAGTAGATGTCAAATGAAAGCTAAGAGTGTGTCTCTGTTCCTCCATAATCTAATGCAGCTGGATATCTTTGTGGATCTATCCAGACTTTAGACTGTTCGAATCCACATCCACTTGAAAGCGTTTTGCTACAAAAACTCTAGGGAAAGCTGAAAAGAGGGACACACACACACTTTCTCAAATGCAGTTCTCGAAGGAATTGTAAACATCTTGATACTAGTAATCTTGTAATAAAGATTATTTAAATTGTCTGTCAGTAATTCCACTCAAAATATTATTCACAGATTGTCACCATGCCACTGACAAATGCTGAAAAGCAAAGAAGATACAGACAAAGACTAAAGGAGAAGGGGAGTTATGAGGAGGTCAAAGAAAAAGACAGAAGGAGGCACAGTTTGAGAAAAGCACAGGCTAAAAGCCAAGGAAAATGTATGTTTCTTGTGTTTTGTGAGTTTGATCAATTACCCTTTCAATGTATATTTCCATACAAATTATTTCTAACTTTGTGTACCTATTTATGCTACATCCTCAAAAAGAGAATGACATTCAAATCCATAATGCATTTCTGTGTCTAGAACAGATCAGAGACCCATCATTTCATTCCGTTACCATAAATCTGTTACCTGGTGTTAATCCACTTCACTTATTGTACTTTAATAACCAGATACTTTTTTTTATAACTATGTTGTCATATCATATAGCTGACACTCCATTCTTTCAGCAGACAGCGTTTAATCTTATTTCAGAGCAGATATTTACGTTTTTGGAAAACTTAGTCACAAACTTTTTTTGGAATGTAGTTTTGATTTTAGTAATGTCCTGTTTATATTTGCTGTTTTTATTTTATTTCTTACTCTGTATGTGTCCTTGGGTCTTGAAAGGCACAATAACATGTATTGTTATTATTGACAGGGCATGAGTTTGATCATCATCTGCTGAAGATGGGTCAATATGGGAGATATGAAAGCAGTGGTCAGCCAGAAGAGGTTTCTGTAGGTTAACCCACATTTTATCCATTCTTCAAAATGAGAAGCAATTAATTCTACAATATCTAACACAATCGGCTGTTCATTAACAACAAGTTCTATTGGTCAAATCGTATATTTCCCTAACACCAACCATGGTCTGTTCTAGGATCACTCACTGCATTGGAGGCAGGTCAAAGAGGAGGCTGAAGAATGTGAGATTCAGCAGAGCCAAGGGTCAGCAGTGTCATTAGGACTTGAAATGTCCCAGGTTTGTCTAAAGGAGGACCCAAATGAACAACAACCCTCCTTTGACACAGTTTCAGACACCCATGGAGTCACAGAACAAGAGCGTGTATATAAACGCATGACATACAGTGAGGGAAAAAAGTATTTGATCCCCTGCTGATTTTGTACGTTTGCCCACTGACAAAGAAATGATCAGTCTATAATTTTAATGGTAGGTTTATTTGAACAGTGAGAGACAGAATAACAACAACAAATAATCCAGAAAAACGCATGTCAAAAATGTTATAAATTGATTTTCATTTTAATGAGGGAAGTAAGTATTTGACCCTCTCTCAATCAGAAAGATTTCTGGCTCCCAGGTGTCTTTTATACAGGTAATGAGCTGAGATTAGGAGCACACTCTTAAAGGGAGTGCTCCTAATCTCAGCTTGTTACCTGTATAAAAGACACTTGTCCACAGAAGCAATCAATCAATCAGATTCCAAACTCTCCACCATGGCCAAGACCAAGGAGCTCTCCAAGGATGTCAGGGACAAGATTGTAGACCTACACAATGCTGGAATGGGCTACAAGACCATCGCCAAGCAGCTTGGTGAGAAGGTGACAACAGTTGGTGCGATTATTCGCAAATGGAAGAAACACAAAATAACTGTCAATCTCCCTCGGCCTGGGGCTCCATGCAAGATCTCACCTCGTGGAGTTGCAATGATCATGAGAACGGTGAGGAATCAGCCCAGAACTACACGGGAGGATCTTGTCAATGATCTCAAGGCAGCTGGGACCATCGTCACCAAGAAAACAATTGGTAACACACTACGCCGTGAAGGACTGAAATCCTGCAGCGCCCACAAGGTCCCCCTGCTCAAGAAAGTACATATACAGGCCTGTCTGAAGTTTGCCAATGAACATCTGAATGATTCAGAGGAGAACTGGGTGAAAGTGTTGTGGTCAGATGTGACCAAAATGGAGCTCTTTGGCATCAACTCAACTCGCCGTGTTTGGAGGAGGAGGAATGCTGCCTATGACCCCAAGAACACCATCCCCACTGTCAAACATGGAGGTGGAAACATTATGCTTTGGGGGTGTTTTTCTGCTAAGGGGACAGGACAACTTCACCGCATCAAAGGGACGATGGACGGGGCCATGTACCGTCAAATCTTGGGTGAGAACCTCTTTCCCTCAGCCAGGGCATTGAAAATGGGTCATGGATAGGTATTCCAGCATGACAATGACCCAAAACACACGGCCAAGGCAACAAAGGAGTGGCTCAAGAAGAAGCACATTAAGGTCCTGGAGTGGCCTAGCCAGTCTCCAGACCTTAATCCCATAGAAAATCTGTGGAGGGAGCTGAAGATTCGAGTTGCCAAACGTCAGCCTCAAAACCTTAATGACTTGGAGAAGATCTGCAAAGAGGAGTGGGACAAAATCCCTCCTGAGATGTGTGCAAACCTGGTGGCCAACTACAAGAAACGTCTGACCTCTGTGATTGCCAACAAGGGTTTTGCCACCAAGTACTAAGTCATGTTTTGCAGAGGGGTCAAATACTTATTTCCCTCATTAAAATGCAAATCAATTTATAACATTTTTGACATGGGTTTTTCTGGATTTTTTGTTGTTATTCTGTCTCCCACTGTTCAAATAAACCTACCATTAAAATTATAGACAGATCATGTCTTTGTCAGTGGGCAAACGTACAAAATCAGCAGGGGATCAAATACTTTTTTCCCTCACTGTATCTCAAAGTAAAGGTAAGTAGTTATATCCTTAAATGTGCAAGCCTAGTTACAAGGCACAGTTATTGTTAGAAATAAAATGATACTGAATGAATGATGTTTTTTCTGTGTCAGGTGCTGCCTTCTCCAGTCCCAGTCAAAGAGGAGTCTGAAGAATGCTCCCTTCTGCCAGTAGATGAAGAAGAAGTTGCCTCAATTACAGTGAAGAAAGAAGAGAATGAAGACTGGTTGAAGTCAGAAGATGAGGATGTTGTGAAAGTGTCAGTGCCTTGGGAGCCGTTGGAAACACCATCATCATCATGCTCAGATACAGAGGACAGTGAGATGGAAAGTGATAATGTGCGGGTGAGTTCAAGCATTTAATAATAGACTGAGGGAAATAGACACACTTTGAGATGTTTTGTAAGGTTTGTGTGCATTATCTCTTTAGTTTTGCCTTTGTCGATGGGCCTCATAACAATATTTTATGGATGCTATGGAAAATGTAATGTTTTTTCTCTACTAGCACATGGACACAAAAACCCTCAGTAGAAAGAGGCCAAGAACTGCTGAGGCCATTCTACCACAGGACCCCCTGGAGTCAGAGGTGGAGGACCTAAGTGACTCAGAAGATGATGACCTAGAGTACATTCCAAAACCAGGAGATCTGGAGGACGAGTCCCCTTCTAAGCTGACAAAAGGAGATGCTTCCCCACACCCTAAAACTGCAGAGTATCCTAAGAGAAAGAAGAGAAAAAGCAGAAACGTAATTATATTGGTTCCTACAGACACACATAACCACAATCTCGACACAGTTGTAAGCCCATGTAATTCTAGCTCCTTCAAAACACAGCCAAGACATCCGCTTTGGAAGAAGGCCAACATAGATTCCTTCCAAGTTCCAGATCCAGTGTTTGTGGCACCACAGTGTGTTCAATCCCCCTATCAATATTTCAAGATGTTTTTCACTGATCAGATGATTGCACACATTGCTGAGCAGACCAACCTTTACTCTGTTCAACAGACTGGATCCGCAATCAACACAAACTCTGGAGAGATTGAGGATTTCTTGTCTATGCTTCTCTACATGGGTGTTTTTGACTTTCCAACCTTTGTGGACTACTGGCATTCTGACTCTCGCTTCCCACCCGTGGCTGATGCCATGTCTTTGAGAAGGTTCCAGTCCCTCCGCAGGTATCTTCACTTCAATGACAACATGCAAAGTAATCACAGTCCTGACCGCTTCTACAAGATCCGACCTCTTTTTAACATGCTGCGTCAACAGTGTCTCCTCATACAGCCAACCAACAGGCAGAACATAGCTGAAGTCATGGTAGCTTACAAAGGAACCAAAGCAGGAAATCTTCGTCATTACAAATCTAATCAGCATGACAAATTTGGTTTTAGGTTATTCTCTCGGGGCAGTTCTTCAGGTATTATCCATGACCTGCTACTGTACCAAGGGGATACAACATTTCTCAATACTGGGCTAGATGAAGACGAACAGAATCCTTTGCTGGGTACCAAGGTTGTCACTACCCTCTGTACAACTATTGCAGAGCCAGAGGCTACAGTTGTTTTCTGTGACAACTACCTCATCAGTTTTGACCTGGTCAAGTCCCTGCAGGCAAGACTGGGAGTGAGGTGTATTGGCACTGTGAGAGCAAACTGCACAGGTGGAGCAACTGCAATGGATGACAAGGAGCTTGCAAAGCTAGGGCGTGGAGCATACGACTACTGTTCTCAAGAGGGGGTGATTGCTGTCAGGTGGTTGGACAAAAAGAGTGTCTCAATACTAAGCAATGCATGTGGAATTGAACCTTTGGGGTCTGTTAGGCGGTTCTGTAGGGAGACCCATCAAAATATTGATATCACATGCCCATCAGTCATGTCGGCTTACATTCAAGCAAAGGAGGGCATCGATCTGTCTGATATGCTGGTGCGTCTGTACAAGACACCTATGAAGGCACACCGGTGGTATCATCCTCTGTTTGGATACATCCTTGATCTGTGCATTGCCAATGGTTGGCTGATGTACAAGCGGGACTGTGACCTTCTCAACGAAAAACCAGTGCACCTAAAAAGGTTTCGTTTGTCTGTGGCAGGGACACTGAAAGTAGTCAACAAACTCCCAGCCAGGATTGGCCAACAATCAGTTCTTCCAAATCCACACACAACTCCAAAGCGGCGGCACAATCCCAGAGCCTTACAGCCTACAGCAGATGTCCGCTATGACTGCCTTGGACACTGGCCTATCTTTGGGGAACAGAGAGGAAGGTGCAACCTGTGCGTCAAGGGCGTCTCGAGGTGGAAGTGTTCCAAGTGTGGTGATGGAAAGTTGTTTTTGTGTCTGAACAACAAGCAACAGTGCTTTGTGTGTTATCACCAGAAGTGATCATTATCAGAGCAAATTAATTGTATGTTGGATTTTTGTTACATAAAAAAATATTTATTAAAAAACATTACTGTTTTTGTTGTATTTCTATTATATGGAGGTTTCCGTGAAGTTGATGTACAACTTAATTGTTATCACTGTTTCAACATTGATGCTGTTGTTAATTGTGGCCATTTTTGCTGTTACTGTGATGCCTATAATGTTGTATAATTTGGACTAGCATGAAGTAAAGGTAACTTTTTTTACTTATGTTTTACTTAACTTGAACATGTTTTTGTATTATTGTTTCATAATGACATGTACATTTACTAAGGTTTACTGAATGATTAGCATTTTTGTGTTGTACAAATAAAAATGCGCTACTTGTTTCTCACTGTTGCCTCTTTGTTCAGAAGTTTCTTCACTAGTTGTTTTGACTATTCTGCATCCTATCTATACTGAACAAAAATATAAACGCAATATGCAACAATTTCAACAATTTTACTGAGTTACAGTTCATATAAAGAAATCAGTCAATTTAAATAAATAAATTAGGCCCTAATCTATGGATTTTACATTACATTTACATTTTAGTCATTTAGCAGACGCTCTTATCCAGAGCGACTTACAGTTAGTGAGTGCATACATATTTTTTTTTTTTTTTCATACTGGCCCACCGTGGGAATCAAACCCACAACCCTAGCGTTGCAAACGCCATGCTCTACCAACTGAGCTACATCCCTGCCGGCCATTCCCTCCCCTACCCTGGACGACGCTGGGCCAATTGTGCGCCGCCCCATGGGTCTCCCGGTCGCGGCCGGCTACAACAGCTTTATTTCTTTAAATTAGCTGATTTCCTTCTATGAACTTTAACTCAGTAAAATCTTTGAAATTGTTGCATGTTGCGTTTATATTTTTGTTCAGTATAATAAACAGAGTGGCAGCAGCAGCATACGTGAGGTGTCAATATGAATGTGTGACACAGGAGGTTGGTGGCACCTTCATTGGGGAGAACGTTCTCGTGGAAATGACTGGAGCGGAATTAGTGGAATTGTATCAAATACATCAAACATGGTTTCCAGGTGTTTTATGCCATTCCATTTGCACCATTCCGGCCATTATTATGAGCCGTTCTCCCCTCAGCAGCCTGTTGTGAATTGTGTGTTGGCTTGTCAGTGTAAGTATGTGTGGGTAGTCCAGTCAGTGTGCATAGTCATTGCAAAATGCAGGTCTAGATAGTATTCAGCCAATTCCCTCGTCTCTGCTTCAAAGGAGCGTGACGTTTCAGGAGGGTTGAATATCGTGGCAGGACATCATTGCATCCAGGGATGGCACCTGTTGGGCTATGCTTTTCCCACGTCGGACAGTATATCCGTGGATGGTACTGACTTAGAAAGTTGTTTTTGGCATCACCGAGCAGTGCCCATTAAATATTTAAATCCAATTGTTAGACTCTACCACCCACTCCAAATCAAAACCAAACATGGATTCCATGTCGTTCTCGCTTTGCGTGCACACCTGTCTGTGTTTCACACCTGTTTGTCCCAGTTAATCAGCCTCGCAATATGGGCACCTTGTTGACGCAGAGAGAAAGTAGAACAGAGAGTGTGCGCACAAACATTGACATCCATGGTGGTGGTAGTGTCTAACAACTGGATTTAATCATTCCATGTGCACTGCTCGCAACGCAAACGATGACTTCCTAATCAGAACCGTCTACCACTTACAGATATAGTTTCGGACGTAAAAAGTGTCGCCAAACAGGTACGTGCCGGCAAATAACTCTCAAGGTAGGTATATGTTATACAACCGGGGTTAAGCCACACAGGGAAGAAGACGTTTCACTGCACTCCGTGTGACAATAGTTTCTTCAGAGCGGCTCACCTGTAAACCCATCTCCTCATCCACAGCTGAACAACACTTGTCTGCTGTAACTGTGCAAAAGGGTTCAATCATGACGTGCACTTGAAACGTCACCAACAATTATGTGCAAAGGCATTAGAGCACAGTTGTAAGGGTAATGCAATCTGGAATCCTTGAGAAGTCCCGAACCTTAACCCTTACCTTATCCATTTTAAATTTCAACTTCAATAGACCCCTTTCCAGTACACGACACACTGGCTGCAGTAAGAAAGCCATCGAGATCTGCGCCCATTCAACATAACCTAGATTGACGTTTTTATTATTTATAAACAAAATAATTTTTTGGGGTTCTCATACGCTTTCAATTATGTTTTGATTCTTGCTTGAACAGTCACTAAGATTATATTTGATTTCATTTTGATCTTTAAAATAGCCAAAGTATAACGTAAAATAGCCAAAGAGACATGTTAATGCTTGAAATTAAGTGTTTTTTAAAAGTCTAATGCTGTTGATTTGCGATGATGACACAAACATTATATTAAGCAGGACATTCATACGAGCCTTAAAATCCAACTATAATCCAAAAGTAGTGTGACGTGCACTCATAAGCAACATGTAAATATATGCTTTTTTTGATGGCGCGCTATAAGAACCCCCCCATGTTCTGCCACCAACTTTCGCGCATCGCCACCATGCGGCAATGTTTGCAAACACAGAAATGGGTCAATGCGGGGTTCTGTTCTTGTTGACATTGGTCTCGTTCAAATTCATTCAAGACATGCCTTTTCGTTCTTCTGATGTGCCAACTGCAGGGAAGTAGGATTAACTTTCATTGGTCTCGTTCAAATTCTTTCAAGACATGCCTTTTCATTCTTCTGATGTGCTAACTGCAGGGAAGTAGGATTAACTTTCATGTATGCCAAGCAGCGGTAGCAGTAAAATACTCTTTAAAGGAAAGGAATGTATTTTCAAGTTCTGGTATTTTCGAGCTTCCGTATGTGCAACCGCAATAATATTCCCCGAGCCCCGGATACTTCTGAAAGCGTCCATGTTATATGTAACTAGCTACAGGTAAATATATTTTCTGTGTATATATTTATCTAAACATATATGAGCTTTATTGCCATTTGATGACAAGTTGGTTACGTAGCTAGCTGTACAAGCCATCAGTTTGCTAACTAGAAGCGAATTATCTAGCTAGAATAGAATAGATAACTATCTAGCTAGCTACCAGTTAACGTTAGCTAGTTAGCTTTTGGGCAATTCCACATACTAGTACACAAAATATATATAAACGCAACATGCAACAATTTCAAAGATTTTACTGAGTTAGAGTTATATGAGGAAATCAGTCAACTTAAATAAATACATTAGGCCCTAATCAAAGGATTTGACATGATTGGGAATACAGTCAACAAAAAAAGTAGGGGCGTGGATCAGAAAACCAGTCAGTGTCATGCTGCTCATCCCCGGACCAGGCCCAAAAGCTTGATTACTAGTTTATTATTTGAATCAGCTGTAAAGTGCTAGGGCAAAAACCAAAATGTGCACCCCTTGGGGTCCCCAGGACCGAGTTTGGAAAACCCTGGTGTAAGCGTAGCTGGGGAGGAAGTGTACTTCGTCAACAACACACACAGCGTATGGATCTGTGCAAATCTTCTACAGTAATTTGAAAGGTTATTTCTTGCTGATATGAAAGATAAAGGCCATATGTTTAGAAAACAGTATCATAAGCGATGATTATTGACGTTTCTAAACGTTAAAACACAGCGTCTGTATTGTAGTTCACATGGAGCCAGGCGTGGGTGAAGCTGACCGCTGAAAACTCTAGGGAGAAAGCAGAATGCTGCCTCTGGTTTTCTAGCGCTACATTAGGACCAACGTGTAGTAGTTCATAGGAGCATATCAAATTGGGTGTCAAATGAAAGCTAAGAGTTGTGTATGCTTGTGGTCATTCATAATCAAATACAGTTGGGTGTCAAATGAAAGCTAAGAGTTGTGTATGCTTGTGGTCATTCATAATCAAATACAGCTGTGATATCATTGTGGATCTATCCCTCTTTGGACTTTTTGAATCCATATCCACTTGAAAGCAGTTTGTACAAAAACTGTGAAAACTGTGAAGAGGGTCTCTGATTTGGCTTGGGATGAACACACACGTATGTTATTTATCAAATGCAGTTGTTTGAAGGGGTGAATCTATTGATTGTAAACATCTTGATACTAGTAGTGTTGTAATAAAGATTCATTCAATTGTCCATCCGTCATTCCACTCAAATGTATTATTCACAGATTGTCACCATGCCACTGACAAATGCTGAAAAGCAAAAAAAGATACAAAGACCAAAGAAGGGGAGTTATGAGGTCAAAGAGAAACATAAAATGGAATACTTTGAAAAAAAGAACAGGCTAAAAGCCAAAGAAAATGTATGTTTCTTGTGTTGTGAGTTTTGTCAATTACCCTTTCAGATGTCTGTACAAATTGCTAAAATAATACATTATTACCGTGACAGCATTAATGACATATTTCCACCTGTGTATCTATTCAGGCTACATCATCATGAATATAATGACATTCAAATCCATAATTATGCATTTCTGTGGAGTACAAATCAGGGACCCATGATGTCATACTATTACCATAATTCGGTTACCGTGTGTTAATCCATTTCACTTAATGTAGTTTGATAACCAAATGTTGTTTTTCAAACTCAAGTTGGCATAGCTGACTGCCCATTCTTTTTGCAGACATCTTTGAATTCTAATTTGGAGCAGATATTTATGTCTTTTGGAAAACTTGGTCACATAAACAACAGATTCATACCGTCATTCTGTTACCAAACTGCATCTGCACAGTTCTTTAACAAACCATACCACTCTATACACAATGACTACTTTTAACAATGTCCACTGGAAAGTTAACAAAAACACTTACTTAAACTTTGCAATTAATTGTTGTTGTTTGGCATACATAGAAAGAAATGAGTCTCAGCATAATTCTGTTACTATGGAATTGCCCTTAAGCTAACATCAGAGGGTGGCAGATAGCCTAGCGGTTAGCGCGTTGGGCCAGAAAACGAAAGGGCGCTAGTTTGAATCCCAGAGACGACAAGGTACTTAACTCTAATTGATCTAAATCAGCATTTGGGTGTTTTGTATTATTGGCAGGTCACGAGTTATCTGTTCATCATCTGCTGAAGATGGATCAATATGGGAGATATGAAAGCAGTGGTCAGCCAGAAGAGCTTTTTGTAGGTTAACCCACATTTTATTTGTTCTTCAAAATTATAAAATATTTAGTTTTACATCTAAACTAATCGGCTATCCATTAACAAGTTTTATTGGTCAAATTGAGTTTATTCTTCTAACACCAACCATGGTCTGTTCTAGGATCACTCATTACATTGGAGCAAGGTTAAAGAGGAGGCTGAAGAATGTCCGATATCAGCTGTCTCTTTAGGAGTTGAAACGTCCCAGGTTTGTCCAAAGGAGGACCCCGATGAACAAGATCCTTCCTTTGACCCAGTTTCAGACATCCATGGAGTCACAGAGCAAGAGTGTGGACATAAAGGCATGACACATCTAAAGGTAAGTACCTCCTTAACACTGTGCAAGCCCACTTACAAGGCCCAGAGGTGTTAGAATTATGTTTTCTCTGTGTCAGGTGCTGCCTTCTCCAGTCCCAGTCAAAGAGGAGTCTGAAGAATGCTCCCTTCTGCCAGTAGATGAAGAGGAAGTTGCCTTAATTACAGTGAAGAAGGAAGAGCATGAAGACTGGTTGAAGTCAGAAGATGAGGATGTTGTGAAGGTGTCAATGCCTTGGGAGCCGTTGGAAACACCATCATCATCATGCTCAGATACAGAGGATACAGAGGACAGTGAGATGGAAAGTGATAATGTGCGGGTGAGTTCAAGCATTTAATAAGACTGAGTGAAATAGACACACTTGGAGATGTTTTGTAGGGTTAGCCTCTTGTAGGATCAAACTAAAAGTTTCTTAATTCTACTAGTTGTTTTCTACCGTTCTGCACCTTACCTATTATTAGCTGTGTACCACAAATCTAGCTTTCAACCTTCATACTTTCTGCCACTATGTGACTGCATTTGGAGTGGGCTACTGACCTGTACAAGAAGTAGGCCAGGTATAGGTGTAGTGGCAATGTCTAAACTTAAGCCTATAGCTTCATAATAAAGTTAAGATTTCACAAACACAAAGCATAGCTTTCTTGAGCAGCTACTAGCTTGAGTGCTGAGCCTAGTTAGTATTCAGCCCATTCTTAAAGGTAACCCACTGGGCAAAAAACTGGTTGAATCTACGTAATTTGGCAACGCATTGTGACGTGGAATCTTAATTCCCCTTGACTTATTCCACATTTTGTTGTTACCGCCTGAATTCAAAATTGATTAAATAGATTTTTTCTCACACAATACCCCATAAGGGGGGGGGGGGGGGGGATGCAAATAGTCTGGGTAGCCATTTGATTAGATGTTCAGGAGTCTTCTGGCTTGGGTTAGAAGCTGTTTAGAAGCCTCTTGGACCTAGACATGGCGCTCTGGTACCGCTTGCCGTGCGGTAGCAGAGAGAACAATCTATGACTAGGGTGGCTGGAGTCTTTGACAATTTTTAGGGCCTTCCTCTGACACCGCCTGGTATAGAGGTCCTGGATGGCAGGAAGCTTGGCCCCAGTGATGTACTGGGCCGTACGCACAACCCTCTTTAGTGCCTTGCGGTCGGAGGCCGAGCAGTTGCCATACCAGGCAGTGATGCAACCGGTCAGGATGCTCTCGATGGTGCAGCTGTAGAACCTTTTGAGGATCTGAGGACTCATGCCAAATCTTTTGTCTCCTTAGGGGGAATAGGTTTTGTCGTGCCCTCTTCACGACGGTCCTGGTGTGCTTGGACCATGTTAGTTTGTTGGTGATGTGGACACGTCGGAGAACACATCCTGGTAATCCGTCTGGCCCTGCGGCCTAGTGAATGTTGACCTGTTTAAAGGTCTTGCTCACATTGGCTACGGAGAGCGTGATCACACACACACAGTCGTCCAGAACAGCTGATGCTCTCATGCATGTTTCAGTGTTACTTGCCTCGAAGCGAGCGTAGAAGTAATTTAGCTCGTCTGGTAGGCTCGTGTCACTGGGCAGCTCGCGGCTGTGCTTCCCTTTGTAGTCTGTAATAGTTTGCAAGCGAGTGTCGGAGCCGGTGTAGTACGATTCGATCTTAGTCCTGTATTGACGCTTTGCCTGTTTGATGTTTCGTTGGAGGGCATAGCGGGATTTCTTATAAGCTTCTGGGTTAGTCCTGCTCCTTGAAAGTGGCAGCTCTACCCTTTAGCTCAGTGCGGATGTTCCCTGTAATCCATGGCTTCTGGTTGGGGTATGTACATACAGTCACTGTGGGGACGACGTCATCGATACAATTATTGATGAAGCCAGTGACTGATGTGGTGTACTCCTCAATGCCATCGGAAGAATCCCGGAACTAATTCCAGTCTGTGCTAGCAAAACAGTCCTGTAGCTTAGCATCTGCTTCATCTGACCACTTTTGTATTGACCGAGTCACTGGTGCTTCCTGCTTTAGTTTTTGCTTGTAAGCAGGAATCAGGAGGATATAATTATGGTCAGATTTGCCAAATGGAGGGCGAGGGAGAGCATTGTACGCTTCTCTGTGTGTGGAGTAAAGGTGGTCTAGAGTTTTTTTCCCTCTGGTTGCACATTTAACATGCTGGTAGAAATGAGGTAAAACGGATTTAAGTTTCCCTGCATTAAAGTCCCCGGCCACTAGGTTTGCTGCCTCTGGGTGAACGTTTTCCTGTTTACTTATGGCCGTATACAGTTCATTGAGTGCGGTCTTAGTGAACAGAACAGCCTCAATTCCTCGGGGCATAGACTCCAATGCTTGCCACAGTTGTCAGGTTGGCTGGATATCCTTTGGGTGGTAGACCATTCTTGATAAATAAGGGAAACTGTTGAGCATGAAAAACCCAGCAGCATTGCAGTTCTTGACACAAACCAGGGCACCTACTACCATAACCAGTTCAAAGGCACTTATATTTTTTGTCTTGCCCATTCACCCTCTGAATGGCACACACACACAATCCATGTCCCAATTGTCTCAAGGCTTAAAAATCCTTCTTTAACCTACACTGATTTTAAGTGGATTTAACAAGTGACATCAATAAGGGATCATACACTGACCAGGTGAAAGCTATGTCATGGAAAGGTCAGGTGTTCTTAATGTTTTGTATACTCAGTCAAAAATCTGACATTGTTTTTCTATTGGAATTTAATTGTGCTTTTAGATGGTTGAAAGCATAGTGATAACACATAGAGAATTCAACAAACTTCTGGCTGACTTTTTGAGTGGGTGAATAAAGGTTAAACTCTCATTGATCATCGTCTCAACCAAATATGACCCACATTTCCAACTTGAAATTATGTGGTGTGCCCAGTGGGAACTGACTTCCTGACTGAACTGAATCCCCCATCTCTGCTTCAAAGGACTGTGAAAACCATGAGCGTGATGTTTCAAGAGGAGTGAAGATTAAAGATTGTAGCAGGACATCATTGGATCCAGGGACGGCACCAGATACAGATGAGAAAGCTAATGCTGTTGATTTCAGTGAGTACCATTGGTGGGGTGGGTTGCAGTTATGGTGTAGATATGATAATGTGTTACATGTACATAACAAATGTTTAATTGCTCATTAACTATCTCACTGGGCACAAACATCAATTCAACGTCTATTCTACTTTGGTTCAATGTTGACGTGGAAATAACATTGATTCAACCAGTGTGTGCCCAGTGGGATGGCTCTATAATGGAATAGAACTTGAATTCATTTTATGTTCTTCTCGCTTTCCTTAAGGTGGCTTTGAAGGGGGGTCCTCCTTCTACCCCTGCCCCCATTGTGCAATCGGCTTCACCATAGAACGCTTTTTCCTTGGGCACCTCAAGAGGGACCACCCTAAAGATTACATCGCAATGCTGAAGACTGGGAAAATCAAAGCCTATAAAAGAGGGAGTTTACGGGTGACCCCAGCCACATGCCCGCAATGTGGCAAGAGCTTCACCAATAAATATGTTATGCAAACGCATCAGAGGACTCATGCAGGGAAGAAATCCCATCACTGTGCAGACTGTGGGAAGAGCTTTGTCTACACTGATGCACTTAAAAGACACAGATGGACTCACACTGGGGAGACCATATAAATGCTCTTGAGTGTGGGAAAGGATTCAGCGGACAAACCGATCTGACCAGCCATGAAATTATCCATACAGGAGAGGGACGATATAAATGCTCTGTGTGGGAAAGGATTCAATCAGGACGTAACATAAAACGTCAGCAACGATTCTGTGTAAAGACCGAGCAAAGTTGTAACGCAAGTACATATATGATCTTTAGTGAGTAGGTTTCAGAGGATGGCAATAAAGAACATATTATGAATATATAATAATGTAATACACTGTCACCTAATTCAAAGTCTGTTCTTGGTACATTGGTCTAGTTGAAAATGTAAATCATTCAAGACAGGCCTTTTCCTTATCTGATGTAACTGTACGGCAGTAGGATTAATGTTCATATATGCCCAGCAGATGGCAGTAAAATACATCTTTAAAGGCAAATAAAAGATTTTCAAATTGGTATTTTCGAGCTTCCGTATGTGCAACCTTAATAATATTCCCCGAGACTCAAATATTTCTGTAAAGCATCCATGTAACTAGCAAGCAGGTAAAGATATTTTCTGCGTTTATATGAGCTTTATTGCCATTTGATGACAAGTTGGGTATGTAGCTAGCTATACAATCCATCTGTTTGCTACCTAGAAGCTAATCATATAGCTAGCTATTACAGATAGCTAGCTAAAGTTAACGTTAGCTAGTATGCTTTAGGGCAATTCCACGTACTATTAGTACCGGTATAACAAAGAGAGTAGCTATACATGTTTGAAGACTAGGTATGAAGGACCCATTAGGACCAACGTGTGTAGTTCATAGGAGCATATCAAATTGGGTGTCAAATGAAAGCTAATAGTGTGTCTGTGGTCCTTCATAAACAAATGCAGCTGGGAGATCATTGTGGATGTAGCTAGTTAGCTAGCTAGCTATACCGCTTTGGACTTTTCGAATCCACCTCCACTTGAAAGCGTTTGACTGTGTAGAGGGTCTTTAATTGGCAAGGGAGGAACACATACAGTTGTGTGTTCTTCTCAAATGCAGTTCTTGAAGGGATGAATCAATTGATTGTAAACATCTTGATACTAGTAGTGTTGTAATAAAGATTCATTTAATTGTCCATCCGTCATTCCACTCAAATGTATTATTCACAGATTGTCACCATGCCACTGACAAATGCTGAAAAGCTAAAAAAGATAAGACTAAAAGAAGTGGAATTATGAGGTCAAAGAAAAATACATAAAGTGTGTTTTAAAAAAGCACAGGCTAAAAGACAAAATATGTATGTTTCTTGTGATTTTTGTAATTTACCTTTTCAAATGTATAAACAAACTGCTAAAATAAGACATTACCTTGATGAGAGCATATATTACATATTTCCACCTCTGTAACTATTCAGCCTACATCATCATGAAGAGAATAACATTCAAATCCATAATTATGCATTTCTGTGGAGTACAAATCGGGTACCCAGGACGACATTCTGTTACCGTGTGTGAATCCACTTCACTTAATGTAGTTTGATAACCAAAGGTTGTTTTTCAAACTCAAGTTGGCATAGCTGACTGCCCATTCTTTCTGCAGACATCTTTGAATTGTAATTTGTAGCAGATATTTTTATCATTATTATTTATTAAGTTTTTGGAAAATATAGAAAAAGAAAAATATATATATTCATACCGTCATTCTGTTACCAAACTTGGCATCCGCACAATTCTTTAATAAACCATACCACTCTATGCACA